TTTGTTTTGTCTTCCTTTGCAGCCTGTGTGTGCTCTTACTGCCATGGTCATTCAGCTATCCCTGCACAGGGCAGACTAGAATGTGAATCCAAGCTAAAAGATTCTTCTGAAATTGGCTTCCTGATAGTAAGGGAAAGCCCTGAATTTCACGATAAGACAAATACAGCCTTGTATTAAAAACAAAACAAAAACTCAAAACATCATTGTTTCTTTTGTGATTAGTTTGTATATGTACACATGCTTCTCTTACATGAAATGCTTCTTTAAAGTTGGGCCAGTGTCTACATCTTTGAACATCTATTTACAATCTCTCTTATCCAAAACTGTAAAAGGCCAAGTGGCCACCCACCTCTCAGTGTCATCTCATCACCCACTGGGGCCTCCATGTGTGTTCCTTGGTCTTCTCATATCTTTCTTCTGGCTTGTGAGAGAAGAGCAACTTAAACAACCTTAACCAGTTCTCTGCTAGTACAAGATAACGTACCTGTTGGCTCTCTTCCTCTCACTGCCATCCTCTACAATGGCCAAAGGCAGTGCTCTGGGCTTTGAAATCCATCCATCCTGCCGTTTGGCGGTGCCGTGTTTATAGACAGTCGTGCCAGGTGTCTTCTTTGCTTAGGGGTGAAACGTGTGTGTACATGTTGTTTGCTGTTCAAATCTCTTCCAAATTACACAATAAAGCAGACAGAAAATTAAATGAAGTATAATCTTCTGGAACTGCAGACGCGAGCCCTTCTGGCCTAGGTAGGCACCCTGGTTAAACCAGCTTCTGGTTATCAATCTCACAAAAACAAACTGGGAAGAATCAGCATCTTCCTGCCCTTGTCCTTCTAAACACTGGCAACAAAGGTGAGCAGGCTGTGCTGTTTCCTTTAAGAAGTGACATGCTGCTCAAATGAGTGTGTATTGGATCACCTGCCAAGAACAAATGGTGATGTAGACACCTGCATCTGTCAGTAGACTGATTTGAATTGAACACTGAGAAAGGCATCCCTGAAGTCCTCAGTACTTCAGCATCTTTGCCAGTTAAGCATGAATTTTTATTGCAAGCTTGACCATTTTCATTGGTCAACTTTTGCAGCTGAAATCTTCCCATAATGTAAGTTCACTGTCAGTAGGAGGTATCTCTGGTAGACCCAGGTTGGAGGCTAGACCTTCTGCAGCTACTTTGAGATGTTTCTTCTGCTGCAAAACTGCAGCATTTTTCTACAAAGTCAGAGGGACTGAAACCTACCATTTGTTCCGTAGTCAGTACAAGCCTGCAGTAGACATGGTGGTCCTTGGTGATTGGGGGGATGCCTAAAGGCTGTAGATCCCAGCATGCTTTTGCTTGTCTCTTTCAGCAACTGTCCTATCAGAGGAGTTGGAAGGAAAAAGGTTTAAATTCACAGCTCTGGAAACTGAGCTGACTACTGACAGAGCAAAGAAGATGGGAGCAGGCTAAGTGGTTCTCCTCCTTTGGTTGCCTAAATCCAGTGGTAGATTCGTTCATCTTCAGGAGTCCTGATGATATTTCTGCAATTTGGATAGCCCTAATTGACACACAGACCTGGTGAGGAGTTTTCTCATTCAGTTCTGCTGCACTGAAGTGAAGGTGCTGCCTGTCTGCCATTTTAGCTCTTCTGCAAGAGCTTTTAGCTCTTTGCACCAAAAGTGATCTTTTGTCCTTCACTCTAAAAGAATCTTTACTCCTTCGTGGCAAATCTGAGAGAGGTTAGAAAAGGATATCCTTGGTTTTCTCCATTACTACTCTTAGCAGCAGCAGCAGCAGCTCTTGTCTTCCTTGACTGCACATGTTCATCCCCCCATCATCCCAAACTGAGCTGTCAGTCCACATTTCAGCTTTTCTGTCCTCACACCATGCTCCCAGCGAGGCCATCAACTTCTGCCCATGTACTTCCATCTCACACTAAGTGTAGTAGTGATGAGCACATCACAGCTGGGGAGTTCTGTCCCTTATGCTACTCATAGTAGCAGTCATGAGGGTTCACAGGCCCAGCCTGGAGGGATGTCAGTATCTTCAGAGAACTTGATCCTGCTCGTGTGATTACATGCTCACCTGGGATCTGTGTGGACAGCCCTTAAAGAATCACGCTATCCACAGGGTAAACAACTCCTTTTCATTTTGTTTACTTAAAGAAATATTTAAAACCCAAGATGACTCTGTAGTACTCTTAAATCTTTTATTGTGTCATTATCACAACTAATATTTTAGGACCCTTGTTCTGCTTCACAAACAGATTAATTTCAAGAATTGAAACTCTATGCACTGTTCTGCATACAAGACGCAATGACACTTCCTGACAGATAATGTGTTGTCAACACTGTGCTCACATTATAACCTTATTTTGAAAGAAAATAACCATGACGCTGATGATTTCCTTTATTGTTCTTGGACACTCTCAATAAAATAAGAAATGCAAGCTAGGAGGAGGATTATTAGTTGTGTTTGTTTCATGTCTTCGTTATCCTTTTAGCTTACACATTGAATTATGTTTTAAAACATTACTAAGTGCACCTATTTCTTTGGATTCTGAAGGATGACCTGTGAATTTTGAAAAAAAGAATGACTTTCTTTTTATTATCAAAAGCAGGAATAAATTTAGCTTAGTAATGGGGGGCTTTTTTTTTCCTCTGAAATGCTGTTCATTCAAATATAGTCTAACTGGCAATGATCTGGATGCCTTTAAGGTTAGCAAAGTTAAGGCCTGACAGATAGCAGAAGATCTGAATAATTCTTAGAATTATAATCTGACAAATTATAGAAGTTCCCACATGGATTTCAGGCATGCACACACAACAGTGCATTTTGCATTGTGGTGCTTCTCTGCCTCACATGGACGATAATTTAAACTTTAGTATTGATTAAAAAATTGTTCTTATCTCATCTGATTGAAAGCTTAGTAACTGTAGGCAGTTACAAGAAGAATAGTGCATCTTTGTCCAGTATTCCGCGTTGGAGATTTTCTAGCACCAGAAGATTCTGAGGAAGGTAGTCTAAAAATGAGCAATGTAGCGGACAACTTTGGCATTCCGTGCATAAGAAGGTCTTTTAGCAGATTGACTGCTGTAGAGTATAGAATTTAAATATATATATATATTTTTTCATTTGTTCCTGTCAAATGTGAGGGATGTTTTCACTGTTCATACAGTCTCTTCCTCTTTTGTATGTATCTCTCTAAGCTCTTTGACTAGGCACTGGTCTTGTACAAACTGAGATCTCAGCTAATTGCAGTAGGTACAGAATTGCCCACGTCTGGATTCATTGCATTGCAATTGTGCTTTGTTTTTAAGATAATGAATAAGAGTACCTGACTTTCCTCCTTCATTCAGTTCAGCAATTCAAGTACATCTGGCATTTACCTTCTTTATTTACTTGTTCCAGTTGCTCCAGTTTCACATGCTTTGATAGTCTTCCCATGCCTCTGATGTCCCTGAAGCCATCTGCTTTTTGCTCGAGCTCCTTCAGATGTGAAAATTTGACACAATAATCGTTTAAGAGTTGAGGGGGCATTATATTACTGTAGATAGAATTTAAACAAACAAACAAACAAACAAACTGGAAGTAGTCTGTAAATACCAGTAGTGAATGGACTAAGTCCCTTTGGACATAGTTCATGAAATTTTTGTGTCTGTCTGAAATGCTGCCTGCTTATTATGAACTACTATAGTAGAAACTTTTGGATAATGAAGCTCTTCTTCTGTGACAGAGTGGGAGACGTTGAGTTAGGCATCATAGGGTAACTAGCTTGTAATGGTCTTGCTGGAAGACTGTGCAAGTAGTCGTCAGCATTTTCCCCCCAAAACAAAGTGATTTTGGTGAGAGTTGTGTCCCCGCACCTTACTGTTAGTTAAAAATAAAGCTTTTGATTTGGGTTTGGGTACTGAACCTGTTTCTACCACCTACCTGCATGTAAAAAAGCCCCAGATAAACTCCTGTTTAGGCTGCCAGAAAGCCTTGGTGGGTTACTGTAAAGCACTTTCACCTTTGATAGGTTTTCAAGCATACTGGATCTCTCACATCCATGGTTATCAGCAGAGGAAGTTGGAGTGGCGCAAAGCTGAACTTGGAACCCAAAAAGAAAACTATAGTGGAGAGAATGGAAAATGGGATGGGAAAATTGTACAGGGGGCAATGTTGCATGATGCCCTAGCTCCTACCAGATACCTCCAGCCTGATAAAACACTAGCTATATGAAGCTTTTCTCTTGCATACTTAGATGAATTGGAGGGGGTAAGCCTATCCCTTAGAATGAAGTGCTGAGTGTTTCCAGTATATTCCTGTATCATCCAAAAGACCTTCTAGCAGGAAAAGGGAGATGTACTGCAATTTCATAAAAGGGTAGTGGCAGGGAAAAGGTAGATGTAAGGGAAATTCCAGAAAGGCCCTCTGGATTTGCTCAGGCACACCTAGACTTGCCCTCTATTGGGATTTACCTGTAGCATGTACATCATTAAGATGCTTTATTATTTTTTAAAATTAATTTTATTTTCCTTTGCAGGTCACCTTTTAAGCTGCTATTTCCTGTATAATTAAGCAGAATGAAGGCATTAGGTTCTAGTAGAGTTGGGCCTAATCCAGAAATCTTCTCTTATTCATTCTTTTCTAAGTAAGAAACTCAATTCTGGGCCCAGTGTTTTACATGTTTTGCTGTTATTTCTAAATTATTTGTGGTCTGTGGATTTTTTGTTTTAACTTTATTGAAAACTTCTTTGCTTTTGTCTTATTTTATTTTTTTGTATTACTGTCCAGCATAGCGTTAGTTGAAGTGATGTAAGTATATTGGAAATTGAAGTGCATAATTGCTACTGATAATGCAAGAGCAATTGATTCATACATTTTATAATTAACAGTATATAATGTTCAGTGCATGGATTGGCTCTGTCCCCTTTAACTTTTCCTTTCTGATTCTTTCCAACTCCCAGTCTTGCCACATTCCAGCCTTTCTGAATATCCTGGTTTAGCTTGAGTCTAGTCCATTCTTCCTTTTCTTTTTCAGACCAGTAAAAATGGGAAGTACTGGATTCTGGTTTCCTCCAAGAAGAGTCAGCGGAACTGGTTAAGACCAAAATCTGAGGACTTTAGTGGGCAAACATCAGGTGTGCATTGAACAGAAGCTACTTTATTCCTGCTTTAAGTATATGCTTCTTTAAAAATAGTATTACATATGAGCTTTCGTGTAATGTGTTTGTTATATTTGATACTGCATATAATCATTCATCCTGCAGTTGTGAAAGCACCAGTAAGAATGAGGATTTTAAGTGATAATTATGTTGAGACACAAACAGGCAATATTACTCATAAAATTCTTTCAGCTGGTCTTTGGAAAGTGTAATATTTGAGGATCAGTGTTTTTTTAAGTTGTATCTCCATTGCTCAGTCTATATATCCACAAGAAAAAAAAAAAAAAAAAAAAGGTGATTATTACTATTCAGAAATCAATACTGAAGTTCTTGATTGCCTCATCTGTTGAGAAGCAATACTGAGATAAAGAGTGCTTACATGTTGTTTTTTTTTTTTTTTAATAAAACACTGTCATTGCCAAAGATTGAATCCATACTATATTTGTTCTAATAATGCATTGTTAAGGACACTTAAACGCAGTTCAAAATCAGCTTAATTAGTTTTGATCATAGAGAAACAAAACTTGAATTCTTCTTTCATACAAATGTGCTGAGTTACATCTGGTACAGCAACTAAGTTACCTGAGGTTTTGGAGAAGATGGAAGTAACATAATATTGGCCTGAATATAGGATGGCCTCAAGCCTGCGTGTGATCCTTGCAGTTAGAACAGGAGTGAGAAGTTGTCAGCGCTACTTCATATGTTCTACAACATGCATGCTTTGCATCAGAATCAGACCCTGCGCATCACCCTTTGCATGACCTAATAATATCCTGAGTCTCTCCAGCTGATGTGCTTTCAGCTCCCCTGACTTGCCCCTCAGCATTATCAGATTATTCCATTGTCTTGTCCTTGGATGTTCTTACCCATATGCAGTGCTTCCCACAGCTGTCAGTGCCCCATGCCTCAAAATTTTGTCCACTCTTTTCACCCAGCAGCTAACCTTTCCTGCATCTCACCGGTCCTGCCTGCTTTTTCCCTTGTCACCTGTTGAGCATGGAGGCCACCTGCTGCTTTGTTTCAGCATGGTCAAAATTAATCATGCTCCCCTACAGCAAGCAGTAGATGATGTTCCCTTTAGTATTTGCGCTAATGCTGCCTGCCCTTCTCAGGCTGGGTGGGGATTTTGCAAATGGGTGGTGGCCCACATGAAGGCAGCAGATGCTTCAGGACATTCCTGGGTTGCTACTGTGTAGTGAAGCCACGTAGGTGCCCATAGGATGTGAAAACACTATATACAAACATAGAGTGTGCTGGTACCTTTTTCTTCCCCAGAACTTCATTTGTCAGGAGGACTAGATGATCTCTAGAGGTCTCTTCCAGCCCCTACAATTCTGTGATTCTGTGAAAATGGCTAGAACAAGTTTCATTCTATCTTCAGGCCAATGTACATAGAAGACCAGTGTGTTTGTTTACAGGAAGGCACAATAAATTATATTACCAGATCATGATTAAAGTGTGTATTGAAAAATCTTTCAATCTACAAATTCATCATGTGAATGAGATTCTCTTCTTAATTACATTAGTAGCTCCATTGAAGTCTTTGGAATTGGTCTTCATTTACTCTTGATGCAGAAATACTTTGATCTCAAGTCTCCAAACAACTCTTCAATTTTTTTTCACTTATAAGCTAGAAAATCGTTTATGAGACAGAAACTGAAATTAAGCTGATTCTTTGAAGACCTCTGCACATTCCCAGTCATGGAATTGTTGTCCCCAGGCTTCATCCCATGAGTGAGAATGAGTCAGAGGCAAATCTGAAATAAGAGTCCTTAAAGAAACACCTTTACTGTTGCTGGGTATCTTTAAAGAGGTTAGTGGTTCCATGTAAATCTGGGGGGAGGAAAGGTGGTCTTACAAAACTTCTTGCTTTAGGAGTGCAGTACAGCTTAATCTGCTGTTCAAAGACTATAGGGTTGAAAGGTAGCAAGTTTCCATCTTGGTCTGCCAGTGTTTCTTTCCTTTTACAAAGACAAGGGAGAGGTTATGGGAAGGAGGGAGGAAGAGGCATAGACAAAGATGTTACTCTATATATGTGTTTCAAATGGAAATCTCAAATCTGAGGCATTCATAAAAATACACATGCAGATATTAAAAAGGCACATTCCCTTCTTCTCTACCTCCCTGCTGACACAGCCCTCCTGTCCTGTCACAGCCTGAGGAAAACACAGGCCTTCCTTCCTCCTCGCTTTCTTCCAGCACGGCACTGGGCTGTGGCAGGGGCTTCAGAGCTTACCAGGCCTCCCCTGCTGCCGGCTGGGATGAGTTTGCTTTGCTTATTGGGGAGGTGGCACGAGGCCGGAGCAGCTGCTGCCTGGTGCTCCCTGCCTGACTCCTGGCTGCTCTGCTCCACCTGTCCCAGCAGCTGTCGGCTTCCCTGGCCCTGCTGCAAGCGGGCATGGGGACAGCCGGCCACCAAGCCTCAGCCTTTGCCCACAGCCTTGCTGCCGTTCGGCCCAGCCCTGCCTGTTCTTGCACAGCTGTGCTGGTGGAGGCCGGGCTGGATGGCAGCTGCAGGGCTGTGACACCAGGGTGGGGGGAATTGCCAATGCTGTGGGAGAAAGGCCTAATGTGGGGCTTTTCAGCCCTGCCCACTGTTTGCATTGAGTGCAGCCCTCCTGCCGCCCTCCTCTCTGTCCATGCTGCTGCAGACCTCACATTTGGCCCTTCCCGCCATGGATAGAGCTGGTTTGGGTATCTAAAGTAGCAATTGTGCTCCAATGATTCTGTCAGTGACTTCTGACAGTGGAGGATTGTTGAGTGCCCTGTAGTCGCAGGCACCCAGTTGCTACTATACATTACCAGATCGCGAATTTAAAGTCATCCTTGCCAACAGATCAGATGTGAGCATCACACAGCTCCTATAGACAAAGGCTGCTGATTTCATTCACGGTTTGCAGTGCATCAGGAGGGGTTAGGTTCCTCCTGGAGGTCCGAGAGCCTTCATCCCAAGCTAACCTCAACCTCCGCACTTATAATCCTTGCACCTTGCAGGGTAGTTTGAAGAAAATGCAGGTTTCCTATGCTGAGCTGATAAAAAACCTAATCCATGAAGTTTCTGTTACTGAGACATCACAGCTCCGTTAGCAGAGGAGAATTTCACTTGGCATTAGAAATTATTGTAAATGTTTGCATTTTGCTAGAAAAGACATGCAAACAGTAACCAAAATTAGCCGCTATACCAAAGAGTGTGAGCTTCGACCCCCCCCAAACTGCCCAAAAGCTGCTTTTCATGTAGATTTTCAAACTCCCAGTTGCATTTCAAGATGTACAGATTTTCATTTTGATAACCGTGTATGTGCATGTGTGCGTGCATGTGTGTGTATGTCTGTACAAACACCACAGGCACAACTTTAATTCCTTTGAAACCTGAAGCTGCCAAAAGCCTTCTTCATGTGTTCTGAAGTGAGTTCTTTGTCTGATGCCTCCTGAAAGCTGACAAACTTTGCTGTTCTCCATCAATGCCTGAGGGGAAGGTTGTGAGGTGTAATTTCAGGGCATATGTGGATCTGTTCATCCTGAGCAATGCATTATAAGAGTTGCAGCAAATAGTGTAAAGAAACCTACAGGTATTACATTAGACCAGCTGAACCTAATTTTATTTTTAACTTTTATTCAGAAGCATCACATAGCAAGTAAACTTCAGAATTTAAGTTTAGTTACAAACTAGTTGTTTCTTATTTTTTTTTTCCAGTCCCCTTTTGCTTTCTTTTACGACCACATGAAACTTGAGAAGCCATCTAAAGCTAAATCATTTAGTGGAGTTGGGCAATTCCCAAGTGTCCAACAAGAAGGCCTGGTTTAGGCTGCGATGGCCACTGTCATTCCTGGTGATTTGTCAGAAGTAAGAGATACCCAGAAAGTCCCTTCAGGGAAACGTAAGCGTGGTGAAACCAAACCAAGAAAAAACTTTCCTTGCCAACTGTGTGACAAGGCCTTTAACAGTGTTGAGAAATTAAAGGTTCACTCATACTCTCACACAGGAGAGAGGCCCTACAAGTGCACACAACAAGACTGCACCAAGGCCTTTGTTTCTAAGTACAAATTACTAAGGTATTAAACTCTATTTATCTTTCAGATTATATTATCTATTTTATGTTGGCCGTGTTAAGCCGTGTAAAAGTATATATTTGTGTACGCCTTCAGCTGATTGCAGAGAGGATGTATTAATTAAAAGTAGCCATTGGATTGTTTCTAGAAATCTAAATTACATAAGTTTGCAAGCTATTGTCTTTGATTTTGTTTCTTAATTTGTTTTCTGTTTTTGTTTTCTGTTTGTTTGTTTTCTTAATGAGAATAGAATTTTCATTTGTATAAGGAATTGTCACAAGAAAAGAGTATGGACTGAAAATTTTTGGCTATGGACTTTTACACAAGTACTTTCATACTTGCCCATATACCCCTGTTACAGTAGCTAAAACCCACCAAAACTAAAGTGTCGATTTAAGAGAAATGGCTCGTGTTTTGCTATATTTTAATTTGTCAAACTGTCTTTGTAGTGTCATGCTTTCAGTTAAAAGGTTCTGTTGAAAAGCAACCTTAGTGTAGTATTTAGCTGCCATTAAAAAAATGAGCACGTGTGTTTTTTGATCAAAATAATTACTTACAGAATATATCTGTGTTTAAAGGCATATGGCTACTCATTCTCCTGAGAAAACCCACAAGTGTAATTATTGTGAGAAAATGTTTCACCGAAAAGATCACCTAAAGAATCACCTACATACACACAATCCCAACAAAGAGGCCTTTAAGTGTGAAGAATGTGGAAAGAACTACAATACCAAGCTTGGGTTCAAACGTCACCTGGCTTTGCATGCTGCAACAAGTGGTGACCTCACCTGTAAGGTATGTTTGCAGACTTTTGAAAGCACAGGAGTGCTGCTGGAGCACCTAAAAACTCATGCAGGCAAGTCATCGGGTGGAGTGAAGGAGAAAAAACACCAGTGTGAACACTGTGATCGTCGGTTCTACACCCGAAAGGATGTCCGTAGACACATGGTAGTGCACACTGGAAGAAAGGACTTCCTCTGTCAGTACTGTGCACAGAGATTTGGGCGGAAGGATCACCTAACGCGCCACATGAAGAAAAGTCACAACCAAGAACTTCTGAAGGTCAAAACAGAGCCAATGGACCTTCTAGATCCCTTTACCTGCAACGTTTCTGTGCCTATCAAGGATGAGCTGCTTCCAGTGATGTCGTTACCTTCCAGTGAACTGACATCAAAGCCATTTACAAACACTTTGCAATTAAATCTCTACAACACTCAGATTCAGTCCATGCAGAGTTCTGCATCCGCACACCAAATGGTTGCCACATCATTACCATTGGGAATGCCTTGTCCAATAGATATGGAGTCTGTCCACCCTTCGCACCAGCTATCGTTGAAATATCCGCTCAGTTCTACCTCATATGCAGTTTCTATGCCTGAAAAAGAACAGCCTTTGAAAGGGGAAATCGAAAGTTACTTAATGGAGTTGCAAAGTGGTATGCCTTCTTCATCCCAGGATTCTCAAGCATCTTCATCAAAACTAGGGCTGGATCCACAAGTAGGGCCACTAGATGATGGGTCTGGGGAGGTTTCCCTTTCCAAGGGCTCCGTTCCTATTAGTGAACCTCTAAACACCCCGTCATTGGACTTTTCTCAGCTGTTCAACTTCATACCCGTCAATGGCCCTCCCTATAATCCTTCTGTTTCAGTGGGAAACCTTGGAATGAGTTATACGCAGGAGGAGGCACATTCTTCTATGACTCAACTTCCACCACAGACACAGGATCCACAAGATCCTAGCAATAGTATAGGTCTTGGGTCTCTGCACTCATTGTCAGCAGCTTTCACAAGCAGTCTAAGCACAACCACCACCCTACCACGATTTCATCAAGCTTTCCAATAGGATGTACAAAGCTGGCTTGTTACTGTCTATTTGTAGAAATGCCTTAGGTGACCATTTTTAACTTAGTGCCTACTATAAGACATTATCAGTTCTCTGCTTTTGTACAGTACCAATCTCATGAAGCCAGTAAGAAATTTAAATTAACTTTTTAAAAATGTTTTGAAAGTGTTTATTCTCAGCTGTGTTTACTTCATTGTTGGTTTTTTTTTTTTTGTTTTGTTTTTTAAGGTCTCATTGTATTGTTTTCATTTTCACTGCCAATTGACACATTTAAAATGTCCACTAGAAAGTCATCCCAAGTAAACTTTCAACATGCATCCCTTTTAAAACCTTTTCAACCTTACAGCCACTCTGTTCCATTGATGTGGTGGAGCTACCATTTTTACCTTTTATATGTTACAGCATTTGCAAAGGATCCATTTCAAACATGTATCACAAAGGTTCCTGAGGATTGGGGAAAAATTTTCTCCAGTCCCTTTCCAAAAAAACCCTCTTCCCAAATGGTGACATCTGATCTGTTCTATAATGACAAATTTTAATTTTTAAATAAAGATAGAATTCAGATTTTTCTGAAAATTTGGATGTGTATATATAGAAGTCCATATATACACATGTACATATATATAACATTTTGACTTATATTGAAGTCATTATAAAAGGTGTTAAGAATTTCGCCATTTTCTGGCTTAAATTTTCGTGGCTTGTTATGAATATTGGAAGAAAAAGAATACAGTTTAATTTTCTAAAATTGTGGCTGAACAGAACTTCAACAGAGAATCTCTGCTTGCCTAACTGACAAAAGTTTCAAGTTGAATTTGGAACTGTGTTGTGCTTTCATGACTCTGGTAGAGGAAAACAGGCAAATTTAATGGCTGATCTTGAAATATAAAAGTGTTGTAATTTAGTAATGCAGAATATTTTGTCGCAGTTTTTGTTTTAATTCTTAACTTGCTGTTTTTTTCTCTTTAGTAGCATAGAAAGAGTACTGCATAGGAATCTTCCAATAGTGTACTGACGTTTGTAGGCATCAGTCTTCTCCCAGCTGCCACCACCAAAGGGTGGATCAAGTCCAGCCAGAAAGTGTGTATCTATTTTCAGTTCAATATTAGTGTGCAGTCAGAGAGTGAATGTAAATTTACAAATACCATTTTTTTGGGTTTTTTTTTTTATTATTGGAATGAACTTTTCAGTTGTGTTACATGGTGTGTTATGTCCTCCTAAGCAACAAGTTAGATGTTAATCATACTTTCTACACCTGGGTACTTGGTTAGGGACTTTTTGCCCACTGCCAAGATTTAAAGACAGGACTCTTAGGAGTGAAGTAAAAGCATATTGCTTACACCACTTTTGCCTAATGCAATATTTTCTATTCCCCAACCCCTAATAACCAAAAGAGGAAAAAAGAAAAAAAACAAAAACAAACCTGTGATGCATGAAAGCAAACTCGAGTAGCTGTAATTCAACAATAACATGCTTTTCCTTGTCATTTTTGTACGAGGAATTAAAATAGAAATTGAGTACATTAGTATCTCTCAAACAATAATGAGGATTCATACAAGGTTTTAAGTGGTTAAACTAAATATACTTCACAGAAACAAAAGTTGCTCCCATTTAAGGAGCTCGTGCTCCAGATGTTTTATCAGTAGCTCCTACTTTTTTTTTAATTCTAGGAGCAATATGCAGGTGTAGTTTTACTATTTTATACATATATGTATTTAAATTTTATTACTGAAAGATAACATTTTTATAAATGTGTTTGTGTTCCAAAGGCATTAAAATAAGGATGTATTAATAAGGAAAATACCTTTTGAAATTCTACAAATTGCTCCTAGATGTTGGGTTTAGGAGCTTGTTATCTCAAAGTGGGCTTTTAGCTCTGCTTCATGACTGCTTCCTCTGGTTTCTATGAAACAGATCGCTTGCTTACTTACATCTTTAGTTGAATGATTTGTTCAATATTGCTTTTTTAAAATTTTTTCTCATCACCTTTATAAAGGAAAGAAAAACACAGGTGAACAGAGCACAAGGTGAACGCCACAGAATGTATTTCTGGTTAAAAATCAGCAACCACAATGCACATAGGGACAACTTGGCTTTCTTCTGAGTCTTTTCAGACAATTTGGGATGAAGAGCAACGGCCTCCCTTGCTCCCGTGAGCTCTGTTCCACGTGAAGCAAAGCCCAGCAGCTCCCCATGAGCAGAGAGATGCCGTGACGCTCGGCTCTGGCAGCGGCTGAGGAGTGGATGGGCCGCACTCTTCTTCCTGACGGTGATGCACACAGGCCCTGGGAGCTTCAGCTCTGTGAGCAGTTTTTGGATGGCCTGGAGGGAGTTCTTTGGTCGAATGTCACAAATAAGATCAGTCTCCTCTGCCGCTGCCAGATACTTGGCCAGACTGCTCGCTGAGGGGAGTTGATGTGGCACATCTACCACTCAGCGCAGGGCAGTGCCACCTGCTTATCAGTCCCAGCCGCCGATCAGACTCAATTAAAAAAACCCAACAAACACTTGGCCAACACCCAGTTCTTAGTACTTAGCCGGAGTCCTTACTACTTGGTTAGTGCCTTAACTTCCTGAGAAGGGGTTGACATTTCACTTCAGAGGTAGACATACATTTCAGTGGAGGAGCAGGGACCTCAGACAAGGTATTGAACCTCATTCAGTCAGGGCTGCAGCCGGCGGCTGCGCTCGGCCTGTGCTGCTGAGCTAGGATGCAGGACGGTGTGGAAGCAGATATGACACTGTAAGCAATATTAACATTAGTGCTTTTGGATATTATTTAGGCAGAGTCAGTATTGGCCACTACTAAAATGTCATTTTTTTAAACCCTGTTTTCTAGGTTTCAGATTGGTTCTTTGAGGGAGGGGGGAGGGCTGGCTGATCGTGCACCACTCTTTGTGCAACTTCAAAACTTCTAGTGAGGTTTTATTTGTTGGTTTTTTTTTTGTTTGTTTGTTTTGTTTGTTCTGTTTTGTTTTGTTTTAATATATATATTTTTGTGTACTTGTTGCTTGTGCTTAATTTAGTAGTAAATTGTGGAATAGAGTGATTTATTGTTAATTTGGCAGTAGCGGTTTTTTAAAACCATATACTGACTGAAACATGAGCCAGAGCTGATTGCTTTATTAAGCTAATAATGAATGTTAAGAGTACATATTTTCAGGATCATTTGCCTAGTGAGCTAAACATGTATTATAGGCCAATATTTTTTAAAATAAAGCTTGGTCAACCTCTATGTTACACATATTACAAGATATAGCACTTTCAAAAGAAAACCTAAACCTTTTAAGAAAGTTTCTTACAGGTTATGCTTTTTATTATAAAACCTTTTATTATAATTTGTTTCAAGTGCCATTAGATTACATATATGTAGGCCTTTGGTATAATGCTTTGTGTACAAAATGGTAGACATTGTAATTTTAAACAGGTACATTTTTACAGTGTTTTCTTATCAATTTGCTATATTGCACAGAACCAGTGTGTCTTTCTTAAGGGTTTTACAATGGTTTTTACTAGGTTTACATGTTTCAAACTACACTGTCTTCTACTGCCATTTTGAATACCAGTCAAAAAAAAAAAAAAAAAAAAAAAAAAAAAAAAAAAAAAAAAAAAAAAAAAAAAAAAAAAAAAAAAAAAGAAAAGAAAAGAAAGAAAAGAAAAAGAAAGAGTTTGTCCTCACCAATTGTAAATTGTGTCCTCTGGAGTTCTGGGTGGTAACTATTGCAAAAATATTTAACACGCAGTATTTGATGCAGATTTTTTTATCATATGCTCTCAACGCTATGCTGCTGTCTGAAGTTAACTTAGGGCCTGATCCTGCATCCATAGACGTCAAGGGGAGCAGGGCTGCATCCTTCGTTATGTCTGTCTCATACACTGGTTTAGCAGCTCATCCTGTATTCTTCTCGGTCTATAGATAAGCCTCAGAAATAAATGTACTTACCTGGTATGTAGTAAACTGTATAGACTTAGCTGCCCATTCTGCATCTTCCCAGTGTACAATTAAAACCATAGGCATTAGCATTACACTCAGCGTACAAACAATGCCACAGTAGTTCAAAATGTGTTTGGATAGTCCCAAAGCTTTATGTAATAAGGGTGTCTTACTTTGTTGGAAGGCAGTGTCTTTTGATAACAGTTATCTAGCCCTGGAAGTGACACAGAACTATTGCTAATCATATGTAAACACTTTTCAGTATAAGCTTCAGTGGTACAGTTGAACCAGAGTGAATGTTTATCTCCTCAGAAACACTCCTGCAATATTGTTATATTGGATCATGCTGCTAATGTAACTTGGGATACAACTCCTCTCATGGTGCTACAAACCTCCCTGTCTCATTCAGATGTATTTTTACCCATAGAAAAAAGGACTATACTAGACCTATAGTTGTATGATATATTTTTATACTGTGACTTAATTTGTCATTAATGAACTTTGTACAACACCACAATGTATTCATATGCACTTGCAGAAGTAAAATGTTGGACATGCAAATTTAAACGCTGACAAGCCCAGCTCTTGTTCACAAAAATAGATGATTTAGTTAAAATTAAATGTGGGCTTTTTATATGGTGTGGAGTGAAGAACATACTATATATTACTAAAAGCTTCTGAATTTAGACAAAAACTGGGAAAGAGTATATTGGGGAATGATGACACACCCAAACCTGACTCGGATTGCTGAAATTCTATTTTTTAGCTAGTGGGAAACTTGTTTGGACTCGAATGCTAAAATGTTTTAATGATAAAATTTTTGAGTCAAAAATAGAGAAAAAAGAACACAGAAAACCCTGCATTCCAGACAGAATTTGTGTATGTTTCTTGCATTTAAAATTTGCTATCCTGTGATATGGGAAATTGAGTTGCTTATCATGTATATGTACTTTAAAATGTATTCACAAACTACTGTTGTATTTGTATAAAATATAGACAAAAAGATTGCGTATATATTTTTGTGTATAAGCTCTGTAAAATAGCAATCACATTATGAAGCTGCAGCAGAACTTCATTTTAAACATTCACATCCAAAGAAACAGACTATTTATTGTCCACATACCCTGATTATAAAATATACCTTGCTGCTATTAAACAATAGTGCTGCAGCTTCTTGTGGCCTACAGTGTTATGTTTGCTGTACAAAAATATGTGAACTCCACAAAATATATCAATAAAATTACAGAATGGTTTTAGTTAATGAATAACTTACGCCTGGCATTTCAATAGATAATCTCGGTCTGCATGCTTGGGATTACAATAAGTAATTTTACATGCATCCAGTTTTGCTGGGTGTAGTTATTCTGATTTTGCAAAGGTGTAACTGTTTCTGACTGATGACTGGTAAAATGTCAGTTTTTCAGAAAATCTAGCACGCATAAGTTTCTGCGTTTCATGATTTTACCAAGGAACAGATTGGATGATGCTACTGTGTCTGTGATCAGACAGATCCTAACTGAAGAAAGCAGTTGCATTTGCCATCAAACTGCCCTTTGAAATGCTGTGAGGAACTGGAAGGTGAGTTTGGGGATCTCATGTGGGAGAAATGGACAAGTGATTCTCTCCATCACTTCAGATGAATGCAAGTAATTTATCTTTATTGTTATAGTTTGTAGGACAAACTGTGAGACTGTGGCATGTGTTACAGGCACAGTATGTGGGTTGCCTCTCTGATATGCTTCCAGGAGAAACTTCATTGTTTTGGTATCACACACCTCCTGTCTGCCTGTGACATTGCTGAGGAAGCCTTGCTGACAAATCTGACTAACGCACTCAGCGAAGAGGTACCATGAAACCAGCAGCCTACCCACAATTGCAGAAAGTTGCAGAAAGTGTTCTTTTTCCATTTCCCCAGAACAAATTGTTTTCCAGGAAAGTGAAAGACTTAGCATTTGCTGTGAAACTGCTTCAAACTCACATTTCATTGTTCTTCAAAATATATATTACTAACGCCCTGCTCTTCCAATTCTTTAATTTTTAGATTTTTTCCTGTTCACCAGTCTGAAAGAAAGGATCTTTCCAGAGTCATTGACTGTATCATACAGACACTTTTGCTTTCTTGTGACTCCCAGCTGTTTCCTCTGAACTGACTTATCACTTCTATGTCACAGGTTTCTAACTGGCTTAAGAGAGTTGGCCGTGGTGTGGTAAGAGTCAACAGCTCTACAGATGGAGGAAGAGGCAGTTCCTGTCTTCAACTGCTTCTTGTCCAAATTTGCCTGAAAGGTATAGAAGGAAGGTGAAGACATAAACTGTAGTACAGCACTGAACTATTTGAGATTCTGCAAAGCCCCCATCTCTCCCCTGAGGGAACTCCTCCCTGTCTCACTCTGGTAGATGGTGTCATCCCCCATAAGAGAATTCAGATGTTCCTTTCAAACTGATACCCTCTGTGACAAGTGTGAGGTGGTTGCATGGATGGCATCTGTGTTACATTCAGACATCTCTTTGCAAGATTGCTCCAGAGCTTTCCCTGTTAAATTCCGGAGCCATTTCCAAGACTTGAAGGAGTTGGGTGTAAGGTTGAAAATCCTTGACATGACAAGAACTTTTGTTCTTATGCCTCATATAAACTGGCACATCTACAACAGGGAAGGGGATTTTTGTATTTTCCTTTCAAAATTTTCTTATTTCTTAAAAGAGAAAGTAAATTCTTCCTTCTGTATTAACTAAATGGGTAAAAAGCCCAGGTGTCCCATCTCAATTTCTGGAAGGCTAGAGCTAGGCAAAAAGGCAGAAGTTCGGGGTTTTACCAATATACTGAGGGGCTTTCAAGCTCCATGAATTCTTTTTCACATCTTTCGTCTTCCTTTGGCAAGAAAAGAAATCATGCTTTGTTAAAAGAGACATTCGGAAAAATGACTGAAGCTGTACAAAACCACGGCCATTTATCCTTTCCTCCTCTCTGCTGTAGCCATCCCTATCCAAAACATCTGTAAGAACATACAGAAAAATGGTCCTTCGATATCATCTGTATATCTGGTCTCTCTGCCCTACAGCAATAGAAGAAAAAGATTATTATGCTTTCTCCATTTGCTCTTTCCTTTTTTCCTTCCCGTTAATAAGTGTGCCCTAACATACAGAATGTTTGGGGCTTTTTTGGCAGAGAAATCTAAACCTGTGACCCAGAGTTTCTGTTAGGCTTGCAAGAACTGAGCAGCTACATGCTATTGGCTTCCCTCCTTTGTAAATCAAAACATGTATTGCGCTGGATTGAAATTCGTGTTTCTGAAGTGGCAGTTGCTGTAGTTGGCACAGCAATGGCATGAGATCTCAAACAGGCAGCAAGTAGGCCAGCAAGATAAGCTGGATTATAAAATTTAGTGTGTGCTTACAAGTTTGGGAAATGTAGTAGAGGATTAACTACTGTTTATCATTACTTGCTAGTGCCCTTGGCAAGTAGACAGCAATGTCTTACTTCCATTTTTTGAGCAACAGTGGAGATAGTGATGTTGGAAAAGACAGGCCGCAGTCATGTGAAATAACAAGTACCTGGTCACATGTTATATTCCAGGTATTTCAGTATAAATGTTCTAAACTAATAATAAGTACAGTGTGTAACACCGTGCCCAGTATTTTTATATATACTTGCTTGTTGCAGTGACCCACGTCTTCAAGGAATCAATGTTTTCTGATTAGTAAGTATTTTTTAAATGTAATTAGTAGTTGTGTTTTTCTATTCCATTGCCATCCCACAACTTTGTCTCCTTCAGGGATGTTTGTGTCATAAAATCACCAGCTACAAAGCTCGTTTGCCACCCGGTGCACCAAAGATACATCAGCTAACAGCAGAACACTGTGGATTCAGGACTGTAATGTATGCTGTGATTGGTTTGAAATTCATTTGAATTGAGAGTTTGCCCATGGCACTGCTTTTCACTGTTGCACTGTACAAAGAAGAATGGTACAGTGAAATTTCATATAAATCACTCAATGGGTGTAAAATAATGCAGAGTACCAAAATAGTGACAGTTTCTGAAAATCAGTATATTGCCTAAACTTTTGTATATATATATATATATATATGTATGTGTGTACAAAAGCGTGTGTGTGTATTGTATGTATGCGTACACGTATGCATGCATGGGAAAACCTGGAAAAGTTAAGAAATACATTTTGTTTCACTTCAAAACATGTAAGCATGGAACTTCAGTGTTTTTCAACTCCAGAGTGAATCACGCAGTTGGTAAAGGTGTTTCCCACTTAACACAGTGCTTGGTTTCTCAGACACATTGGAAGAGTTTCTTCTAATTACTTGATTTATCTACAAGAGGCAGCAGTTTATCTGCAGGGTGCACAGCCTTCTGTGAGGAAGGTGTTTGTCAGCTATGCCTGTGTAGCATTAGATAGAAATTCAGTAGAAGAGTTCTGTGGGCTGTGCCTTTGAATTTAAGCTCAGCTCTGGCTTATTGCCTTTTTCTTAAATGGTTGCACACGTGGTCAGGGGTACATACTTAAGCTCTCTCACAAGTACTGACACTGAAAATGAAAAAAAAAATACATTCTGTATGACTAAGGGGACATAAGATAAAGGAGTAACCTTCAAACTCTAACACAGGAGCATGAATTATCTAATACTGAGGACAAGTAAGCATAGACTAACTTGCCAAACTCGCTGAAATCTGTCCTGCTGTGGCCTAGTGATCATTGCGATCACAGAGCTGGGTGTTATCAGTGGTCAGCAGTTTGGTGAGATGCTGGGATCCATTGGGATCCTTCCAGATATCACCTGCAACAGCAAGGGTTCAGTCTGAAGCACCAGCATTACATCTGCTGTGCCTTGGAAAGCAGCTATCACCGAGTGGTCACTGTCCCATAGGCCCCTTGCTGTGGGTGATTCATGTTGCTCATTGAGCACAGAAGCCATTTCCTAGTCCCTAAGTTACAACTCTCAAATTCCACCATTGCTCTTTGTTATCTCCTCACAACCCAGCAAAGGTGTTTGTCAGCTGTGCTACAAGGGCAGGACTGCAAAAGCACTCTTGGACAATGTGGCTGGAAGCATTGCATGACATGCCTGCCTTATGACAGCAGTAATCCCACGGGGGGAGGCACCCATATCTGTGTCACCTGGAAGTGTTCTGTGGTCCAGAGTTTCACCTTTGTCATCCTCACACCTGAATTGAGACCATCTCAGCTTGTCTCAAGGTGCTCTTCTGCAACTGTGATACTAACCCACAGACCAAGTTCCCAGTTGTTGTTACCCCTGGTCCATCTGTGTTCAGAGAGGCCACAGTTTCAGGCCATGAAACTCCCTACTTTGCTTCAGGTGCCTCCAGGTAACACATCCGAGCATTGCAGCAGGGAGAGCCTGTGCTTGGTGCTCTGAAACCTTTCTGGAATGAAAGTAAAAAATATCAAGCAACTGTTTGGCAGTGTGTGTGTTTGAAACTCGATCTTATTATTTATAAACTAGGATTTAACCTTTAAAAATGTTTATTGCTATGGCTCTATTCTAAAGAAGTGCTGTAAGATCGCATCGCAGCTCCCACAGATGTGCTTGTTGGCATTTAGATTTGCCTCTCAGCACATTAATGAAAACTTGTCTGCATTTGCTACTACAAGGTGTCATTTGCAAAGTAACCAAACTCTAAAATACAAACTGTCTTCACTTCTGGTTCGTCCTGGCAGTTAAATAAACATTTGACTGTGGCCTGTCCTCAGAGCAGGTGGTGTGTATGGACTGGCTTCAAATGATGATATCACTTACGCCTGCACAATTGATTTTATCAGAACTGCTCTCATGCAACTCAGAATACCATTAGAGGCCTATGAGGTGTGACTGGAAGCAACACTTGCACTGTGAAAAAAGTGAGAAGGAATGTAAGTTCATCTTCAAACCCCAAAGTGAGATCACAGAGACTGACAGCAAGTGGAAAAAAAGAAAGCTTTGATTTAGAAAGGGTAAAGAAACCTCAGAAGTCACAAAGACACAGGCTAAGGAGCCATGTTGTTTTCAGGGTAGAATAAGTACTTAGGAGATAAATGCAGGAATTTAATAGAAACACAGTGCTACCTTAATACTGGAAAGCACTTCTTAGAAGCCACTGAACACTCAGGACTAAAAGGGGTTGGTGCATTTTTCACCGAGCAGATGCACAAATATTAAAGTAATGATCATGGAGAAGAATTTAACTATATGCTTTAAGAACAAAGGGGACAGACTCTTTAGCAGGGACTGTTGTGATAGCACAGTGGGAAATGGTTTCAGACAGAATGAAGAGAGATTTAGACTGGATATAAGGGAAAAGTTTGTTACCATAAGGGCAATGAGGCACTGGAATAAGTTGACCAGAGAGGTGGTGGGTGCTCCATCCCTGGGAACATTTCACGTCAGGGTGGATGGGGCTCTGAGCAGCCTGATACAACTGTAGGTGTCCCTGTTCATTGCATGGGAGTTGGACCAGATGACCTTTAAAGGTCCCTTCCAATTCAAACAGTCCTATGCTTCTATGAAACTCTCTGAGATAGTCCCGACCCCTAGTTCTATCCTTTTTATGGCTTAGACAAAAATGTGGCTGTTAGCAAGCATGAGAGCAGTGTGTCTTGATCAAATGCAAACTCTGCTTTACAAGGAATGACATGGACATTTGGTACATACCTGCTGTGGTGTGTGGCACCTGTATCAGTGTGTTAGACTGCAGCCTTTAGTATCAGAGTTATCCTCTGTTTTGCAAATCTATGAACAGTGGTAGTAACAGATGGAGTTCTGGCAGATGGAGTTCTTGGAGTACAGCTGAGATACCCATGGGTAATGCTGTGCTCCTCAGTTTGAAGCATGGCTGAGGCTGAGAAGCTGCTGCAGCATCAGAAATACATTTTAGTACATTTTATTGTAGAAGTGTGTCACAGAATCACAGAAGCCTGGAACGTCAGGATCCTGCCACAAGTTATTGGCACTGCCATGTACTGCAGCCCTCGGGATACAGGCTGCACGCTTTGCCGTTGTTACTTCTAAAAGTTCATATTACATGTTTGTTCTTAATGACACTTACAGCAGCCAAAGCTCAAGACATGCTGAAGTTCCCTGCTGGTAAGGACTGGTTCACACAGCTTCCTTTTTCCTTACGTTGCTGCAGAAATAGCAGCAACATGGGAACAGCATGGCTGAAGGCCTCCCTGGGTGCCCAGAATAAAAGTTCTCCTGGAGAAGGCATTGGGATGAGGGGGTCTGCCAGCCCAGCACCCTGCTTCTGGGCAGGGACAGTGGAGCTGAACATGGCTGGGAGGTAAAGTGGAGCTGAACGTGGTGAGGACGTCCTGCTGTGGTTGTGTCTCAAGAGAAGCAACTGGGCCATGTTGAGAGCACAAGAAAATATGTTCTATAAAGGATAAAAGCCTGGTTGGTTTTAAATCGGCTCTAACTGCATTTACAACAAAATGAATTGGATGTCCCCCTGCTTCAGCCCTCAGCAGTTGGCTTGAGACAAGTCAGCTACAGGCAGTCTGCTTCAGCCCCAAAATACGCCCCTCTTCCTGTTCAAGGGATTCGGTGTGTTCCCAAAGAGTAATACATTCTTGCCACGAGAAGAGAAAAACAGAAAGGTTTTCAGCAGAAAAGGAAAATTACTGAAAAAAGACATGGAGTTTGAAAAAAAAAAAAAAATCGTATGGAAAGTCTGCCATATTATTCTGAATGAGACTGCAGGCAAAGAAATTTGGGAGAAGTCTTGACACTAACCCTCTGGTTTTTGTTACGGTGTTCTGCAACGTTCAGGATCTCATAGAATTATCCTGCAACTCCTGAGCAGGTCTGCTCACAGACCTTTTGTCCACACCTGACAGTACTCCACTGACTTCCCTCACCCAACCTTCCCTGTTAAGCTTCTCTGTGACCTTAACACTGGAGTACTTTTTCCATGGGATAGATGAAGTTCCTGGAGAATTCATAGCAGATATCACTCTCTGCTGTCTTTATGTACTATATGTCACATAAGACTGTGCCAGAATTAGAGCCTTTATGGCTGCTGCAAAATAAACCTTAAGAAGTCATTTCCATCTCCAGTATAGGTGGATTTGCTTATTACAGCTTTTTGTTATCATCACGGCTCACCTACTGAGAATGCATTTCTTGTGAAGATTTTTAAGTGGAGCCATCGTGCAGGCATACAACCCCAGCACTGCTAGAACCTGTTGTATGTACAGGTTGCTTTACAGCATATTTAAAACTGCAGTGAGGTTCCTTGTTGGTGTCCTCCACTGCCCCCAGGTGTCCCAGCACAGCTGATGTCAGAGCAGGGCCCTGTTCCTGTGAGACCCTCTTGCATCCCCAGCTCTCCGACCTCTACTTTGATAACAACTCCCACCACACATTAACACCTATTTATCTAAATCTCCCTTAGCTGATCTGTTTCACATCACTGGGTGATAACCCAGGTTTTCTGTTCTCATTCATCTCTTGTTGACATCCAGATGAAGGACTTGAAGGATTAGGAGGTGGGAAATGGGGACCAAATTTTCCAATTGATTTGTCTGCAAGTATGGAAAGATACTTGCTGGAATGTTCAAAAGCATTTAGCTGTACAAAATGAAACCCCTGTGCATAATGCTCATTGCTAGAGCCAATGCATGATATGTGATGTTCATCAGCCAGTCCTTTTGCTACTGTTAGGCTTACCTAACCACCCAAGATGGGCAGACTTCAGCAGCCAAACCCCTCCTATCACACATGAGTTGCAGGTCCCTTTAAACTCACTTTTAAATTTAGTTATGCCTGCCATAGGCTTACCAAATGCTAGTGGTTACTATCTCAGCTGTGTCCTCTGAGAGTAACCCCGAGTTCTTCAATGCATCTGACAATTATCATTGCCCCAGCGAAATGCACTCAGTTTATTTACTGCCCGGCCATTTTGCTAGAGATATTCATGGAGCAATGTATCTTTCTCATCTCTTGTGATTAAAAATAATGCAAAATACACGTGAACTAATACATTTTAGTTTAAAATCCATATACCTTTGCTTTCTAGAGATTTACTTAAGGGTGGAAAAAGAATGTTCTCAGGTGCACCTGATTATGGGGTCAGCTCATTGAGACAGATGCGGATCATTAGGGGTGGGAGGGGAAAGTTGTGCAGAGAGAATAAAAGAGCCTTTGGAAGGTCCCATGAAGAAGCTTTCTAGTCCATTGTTCTAGTAACTTTTTCTGGCATCTTATTATGCCATCACCTATTCCTTTTAATAGCTTTCTTCCTTTGGAGCTCTCCCCATCTGCAGACTTGAGACCTTGCAGCAGCCCTGTAGTTATCCCTGGCAAAGATGGAAAAGCGTTCTTAGGAGGGACCCCCTCACCCAGGACACGCCGCCTGCCCCCACGCTTGGCTTGGTGCTCCATTGACTGGGATCGGCTCTGCCTCCTACAGCCCCTTGGCTCTGGAGGCTTTGGGGCTGTCTACAAGGCCACCTACCATGGTGTGACTGTGGCTGTGAAGCAGGTGAAGAAGAGTAGCAAAAACCGGCTGGCATCCCGACAGAGTTTCTGGGCTGAGCTGAACGTAGCCCGACTGCAGCATGATAATGTGGTGCGTGTGGTGGCTGCCAGCACGTGTGCTCCTGCCAGTGAGAACAGCCTAGGCACCATCATTATGGAATACGTTGGCAACATCACCCTGCACCATGTCATCTACGGCACTAGAGATGTGTGGAGGCAGGGTGAGGAGGAAGGAGGATGTGGGAGGAAGGCTCTGAGCATGGAGGAGGCTGTGTGCTACTCGTGTGACATTGTGACTGGCTTAGCCTTCCTTCACTCACAGGGCATTGTGCACCTTGACCTGAAGCCTGCCAATATCCTCATCACTGAGCATGGAGCGTGCAAGATCGGAGACTTTGGCTGCTCTCAGAGACTGGAGGAAGGCTTGTCCCAGAGCCACTATGTTTGCCAGCAAGGGGGCACGTACACCCACCGTGCTCCTGAACTCCTCAAGGGTGAGAGGGTCACTGCCAAAGCAGACATCTACTCCTTTGCCATCACCCTCTGGCAGATTGTCATGCAGGAGCAGCCCTACCTGGGCGAACGGCAATACGTGATCTATGCAGTGGTAGCTTACAACTTACGCCCTTCTCTGGAGGCCACCGTCTTCCATGAGACATCGGTGGGCCAAAGGCTTCACAGAATCATCAGCTGCTGCTGGAAGGCTGATGTAGAGGAGCGCCTCAGTGCAGCCCAGCTGCTCCCCAGCCTCAGGGCCCTGAAGGGGAACTTCTAGGGGAACTCAAGGTTACTCTCAATTTCTTTCTCTCCACTTTTCCTTCAAAAATAATGACTGTAGCCTCTTTGACTTTGATATTTTTATATTTAAAAAAAGATATTTTGTTATAAGAAAATAAAGACTTTGAATGAATCTGTTTTTTGAACTACAGAGGGGATAGAGAGGCAAGGATCAAGGTGTTGGTGAGAATAGTTTTTTTTTAATGGCTCCTTTTTTAGTTGATCTCTGGTGTGCTGCCTCACTTAGAGGAAAAACTGGAGACAAAGAAAAATCATTTTCAAGTACAAAAGAGTGCTGTTTCTGGATAGCATTTTGTATATAACATTTTCTGGTATTGCCAAATTTGAGACATGTAGTTCTTTCGATTAACTAGGCCTGGGCATTTGAGATTTTCATAGACGAATACAGAATACCAGTGTTTGTTGTCTATTCTTGTTCTTAGATGTAAGTTCACTGTTTCTGAAATGAAAAATGTAAAATACCTTATGTCCCTGTTGAAAGGAGGGACCTTCTTACATTTAATAGCCTCTGATTGACAAGAAGATGAACATACTAACAAGCTGTTCTTTTCCAAGTTTCCAGTCTTTCCATGCTACCAGGCGTTTGTTGGAACTCACTAGCTGGTATATTGTAAACTGCAGTACCTGAAGTATTACAAGAGCATCTCACGTGGAACAGAAAGTTCCTAGATCTTGGAGATAGAGTAAATTTTAAATATGTATGAACTGACAGGGAGATGCATAGATGCAGAAACCTCAAACTGGGGAATGAGTGCAAGAAATTACTCTCTCTTCTTAATATGTGGGTCAGTACCAGATAAGATACAAAAGTCTGGAAAGGAAGGTTGCTTAAAGCAGTAATAATAATATTTTGCTAGTGCTTAAAATGTATGTTGTTGAACAAACCTCTGCTCATGACTGCACTGTTTCTTATCTAATGTCTTTCCTAATCTGGTTGTAACGTGTCTGGGAGAGGAACTGCTCTAGGCAATGTTAGAGACAGAGCTCTGGTTTTTCATTTATCAAAACCAATCATTATAGATCTGTCTAGATCTCAGCCCTTATCTGGAACCATAAAGATCTGGCTGCTGTATCTGATACTGTCATTCTCAAGAACTACACTTTATGAGAGAGTAGGAGTGAGGTTTTGGTCCAATTGTTTTTCTTTCCTCCCCCTTTCTTCCATTCTGGGGGGGAAAAAAAAATCTTGAAGGCATTGAGCCATTTTCCTGGTTTCTGACATGCATCTGTTCTCAGCCCCATGAAATCCTGGAAATGAGCAACTATGTATATTTGAGATGATTCTATAGGTCTTCATGGTGTTTGGGTTGTTCTTTGAAATTCACTATTTATAAAGCAGAGCTAAGCTTAACTCTTTCTTTTCTGTCCCTCCTAAGTGGAACTACAAAATGCCTGTTGGAACTGAGAAAATGTTGTAATTTTGTTTGTTTTTCCTGTCAAAATAATTACGCTATAAAACCAGAACTTGTTTTACATGTTGTATAACTTCTCTTGATAAACAGTAACTATCTTACAGAACTTGTTATAATGAGCCAGTTCCTTTTTACAATGATTAGCTAAGGGCACGTAAAATAAACTGTCAGATAAAGCCATTGGTGCATCTCACATTAACTTCAAGCTGTAGTGGATTCTCTTTCAGGATAGAGTAAGAACTCTGCACGGTACTTAATATTTAGGTACACTGTAATATGCTGTCATAACAATGTGTTTGCTTTTTTTTTTTTTAAAATGGCTTTTCCTAGAAGGATTACAGAGTCCTGTCAGAGCATGTAGAGCTGGGTTTAGAGAAGTGAAAGCCCATCTCAGATTGAATCTGGTGAGGGCTGTGAAGAGCAACAGGAAGGTTTTTACAGGTACATCAATAGCAAAAGGAACAGTAGGTTGAATCTGGGCCCACTGATTAATGGGGCAAGGGAGCCGGTGACAAAAAAAAGAAAGGGGGGGGGAAACACTGGTAGATGGACAAGCTATTCATCTATTGTTTCTTCACCTCAGTTTTTAATGCAAAGACCTGCATTAAGGAATCTTGGGCACCATTGAGACCAGTGGGAAATATGGAACAAAGATGACTTGGTATAGGAAGGAACAGGTTAGGGAACATTCAGGCAAACGTGTCATATACAAGTTCATGGGCCTTGATTGAGTGCGTGCACATCTGCCAAGGGATCTAGCTGATGTCACTGTTAGGACACTCCAGTCTTGAAAGGCTGTGACAAGTGAATGAGGCTCTGCCAGACTCACAGAAAGCAATGTCACTGCTATCTGCAGATCATCAAAAATGAATGCCTAGGAAACTGTAAGACAGTTAATTTCACATCGCTCTCTCAAGTAAGTGGTGAAACAACTGATCCCGGAAACAATCCCAAGCACATGAAGAACAAGAAAGTAATTGGGTGTAGTTAGCATGGATTTACAAAGTCCAGCTGAAGATCAGTCACCAGTGGTGTACCCTGAATGTTAATACTGGTATTAACAGTATTATTAAAATCTCTATTAATAATGTGGATGACTGGACAGTGAGTACCATCAGCAAATTTGCAGGTGATACTGAATTGGGTTGTGCTGCTATTCAGTGGGACCTTGCCAGGCTGGAGAAATCTGTTGATGGGGATCAGTGAAGGGAAATGTAAAATCCAATAACTGAGGAAGAAGAGACCCAGACACCATTACACACTCAGGGCTGACTGTCCAGGAAACAGCTGTGCAGGAAAGGACCCAGAGTTCCAGACACCAAGTTGAACATGAACTAGCAATGCGCCCTTGTGGCAAAGGAGGCCAACAGCATCTTGGGCTGCACTGCGAAAGGCATTTTGAGTTCCTCCAGAGCAACAGCAGATGAGATTATTCTGCCCACACCAGGCTGCCCAGGGCCCCAGCCAACCTGGCCTTGGGCACCTCCAGCAATGGAGCTTCTCTATGGGCCTGTGCCAGTGCCTCTCTGAGTAACGAATTTCTTTGTAACATCTAATCTTGTACTTTAAAACCATTTCCCATTGTCCTTTTACTATACACCCAAGTAAAAATCTTCCTGTTTAGAATCTCCTTTTAAGTACTGGAAAGATGCAGTGAAGTCTCCTTGGAGCCTCCTCATCTCTAGACTGAACAAGCCCAACTCCCTCAGCCTGTCTTCTTAGGAGAGATGCTCCAATGCTCTGATCTTCTTCATGGTCCTCCTCTTAACCTGCTGCAATAGCTCCACAACCTTCTTGTGCTGGGGGCTCCAGGCCTGGAGGCAGTGCTCCTGCTGGGGCCTCACAATGACAGAGTAGAGAGGGACAATCATCCCATGAGGATCATCGAGTCCAGCTGCTTGCTTCATGCAGGATCACTGGAAATTCAAACCATGCTCATGATGTAAGTCAGCATAAGTGTTAAGGGCTCCTCATCCCTAGTTTATCTTTTGCATTCCTGAAGTTGATTGCCAGCAGCTGATGAACCTAAACATGGGTTCTATTAAAGGCCTGGAGAAAGTGCTACAACTAGATAATTGGAGTTTATCAACATCTTTCTGTAGCTACTGAGCATGATATACTTACGAAACCAGTGCTGATGATCCTTCCACGTCCAGTGTGGGAGGCAGAGGTCAAAGAAAGTGTTTTATCACTGCTTTTGATGGAAGGAGGGTGCTGATAGCAGTGTTTGACATGATGCAAAACATAAAAAGGAACATCAGTTTTTTAATCTGTGGTCTAAATGCCTCAGCAGGGTATGTATGAAGACATAATAAGCTTGAAAGGCTGAACAAGCATTCTTGACCTGATCAGCTCAGTAGGGTCTTGTGAATTTGGAAGTATAGGGCCCAGTATTGGACAGATTCAGATAATGCAGCATTACTAGTACTGCAATGTATCTGTGGGCTCTGCTCTCCAGCCATCTGCCAGCCAGTGTGCTCTATTCAGTGTAAGAGTGATACTAAGAGTGGGCCAGAGCTTCTCAAGAGAAAGTGGCCACATTGTCTGGGCTGTGCTTTTCAGAAGGAACAGAGCCTCATTTGTCCCAGTTGGTAAATGCCAGATCTCTCATGTCTTACCATCAACTCAGTTCCTTAGTTTGATATAGTTATTTTTCTTGGAGGCTGAAATATTCCTATGTTTATTTAATAGCATAACTTTTGGCACAGCAAAGTGCCATTTCTGGGATCCCAGGATTGCTGTGCCATGCCACAGTGGCTATTTTCTTACTGTGAGCTCTTTTTGTTATGTTCCAGGTTCGTAAGTGGGACCCCAGCACAAGCTGCCTTTCTGGCTTCCAGCTCTGAAGCATTGAGTTAACTAGTCCAAACCAATTGGGTTAGCTGCTGCCTCATAGCAGTCCTGGGCAGCCACAGTCTGCATGGAAACTTCAGCTAGTTCCCATCAATGCCCTAATGCCTAACTACCACATCTGGCTGCCTTTATTAATTTCAGACAGTTCCTATTAAAAAGGACGCTGTGAAATACTTGCATTATCTTGCACAGTCATAAACAGCAGTAGCTTTGGACGTGTTAATCACATCAGAGTGTTACCTTTTATGCTTCCTTGATTATACAGATAATATTGTCTACTATGGGAAAGCATGAACTAAAAGTTTTAATTCTAGCTTCTTTTTTTTTTTTTTTTTTTTCAGTAGTAAATGGCATCCAGTCTTTTCCATCAGATTTCCACACTCAGCACTGGTGAGGCCACACCTTGAGTACTACGTTCAGTTTTGGGCCCCTCTGTACAAGAAAGAAATTGAGGTCCTGAAGCACATCCAGAGAAGGGCAAGGAACTGTGAGGGGTCTGGAGCACAGGTCTTATAAGAAACAGCTCAGGGAATTGGGGCTGTTTAGTCTGGAGAAGAGGACGCCCAGGAGGGGCTTTGTAGCGCTCTCTACCATGACTTGAAAGGAGGTTGTGGTGAGGTGGGCATCAGCCTCTTTACCTTGGTAACAGCAACAGGATGGGAGATAATAGCCTCAAGTTGCACCAGAAAAGGTTCAGGCTGGATATTAGGAAATGTTTCTTCACAGAAAGAGTGCTTAAGGTATTGGAACAGGCTGCCCAGGGAGTGGTGGAGTCACTGTCCCTGAAGGTGTTCAAGAAACATGGAGATGTGGCACTGAGCGATGTGGGCAGTGGGCATGGTGGGGATGGGTTAGTGGTTGGACTAGATGTTCTGATCAGTGGTCTTTTCCAACTTGTATGACTCTGTGATTCCATAATTTTATCTAAACATCTAATTTGAACTTAATCTTCACAACAGCCAGTACTAGGGAGTACTGAAGTAGTTTTAAATCAAAATTCAATACTTTTATCCATGATGAAAAGCAACTTCCATGTTCTCTCTTGAGCTCTGTGAAGCTCTAAGATCTGACATTTTCTTTAGCAGCCGAATTTAAAAAGGCAAGAAAAATGGATGAAAGCATGGGTAGCATGCAATTGTAATGAGCCATTTCTAGGAAGAATAAGAAAATAAAAGAAATAGGATGGAAGTAGCATTTTATTTTTTTACTTTTTTTTTTTTTCTTCATTTTGCAGGAGGGAACTGGAAGCATTGCTGTTAAGCACATTTGCTAATTAAGTAGCAATTGTTATTTATTTCACTTTTACATAGCTTGTGGCTCCCCATCAGTGGAGCGCCCCTGAAAGCCTGCTTCTGGCTTATTATGTTGTTTGCTTCTCACTCTTTGGAGGCTTCTTCTGAAGTTCTGGACCTTTATGAGTGAACTGCATTGCATGTCTCTTATCAGAGAACTCAAATGCAAACGATTTCAGCAATCACGATCCAGTTTCTTTAAACTCTGTATTTTTACCTTCTATGATTATAATATAAACACAGGCATCTAGTTTTATTCTCTGCAGCAAAGAAAATGAAAAAATTGTTTTACAGAACACCACAAATATTTGCAAATTCAATAAGGCTTAAGTGGATACTTCACATTTGATTTGTCTATCTTATTTTTTTCCTGCCACTCTTACTTATGTTTACAAATTCCTTCTATGGAGCAAAGACAAAAACAGTGGTAGAAAATGACTATTTTTAAATATTAACTATACTTTGAATATTTTACTTACACTTTATTTTAGCCATTCATCTGCTACAAATATCTTACACAGTGTTCAAAGAGCCTCTTTCTATGCTTCAGTTAGCCCAGCTGCCAAATATTTGTCTCCTGTCTCCTTGTCAAATGAGCAGCCTTAAAACCAGTGAAAGAAAGAAAACGGGAACAACAACAACAAAAAAAAGCCTTCTGGCTTCTGTCCCAGTATGCCATCAGCTCAGGATGCCATGGGACAATTTGATAGCAGAGGCACCATTGGACCTGGACTTCCCAGTGCATGGGGCTGAGCTGCCGTGATCCCTACCCAGACTGAAGTTCAATAGCCCAAGTGTTTGGCAGAGCAGGGAGGTGACTGCATTTGCCTTTGCAGGGCACCTGGGATAATAGGGTAATTCATAACTTAATAAATATTCTACTGCATATGTGCCAGGCTACAAAGAGTGAAGTAGGCTGAATATTGGAAATGTAAATGTCCCTCTCTTTTTAAGTTACTCCCCCCCAAAAGGGGCGGAAGGAAAGGCAGTTTTATTTTCAAGCCATGTGTTGTTTTCAGCCACTTCAAAAATGGTGAAAGGCTTTTGATTCACGTGCCACCGGTGAAACTGGCCCCAGAGACAAGTATGGAAAGCTGCACCTTAGCAGGGGTATTAAAATAGCTGAGTGTGAATATGGCAGTTGATACACTGGGCAGACTGCTTTTTTTTTCTTTTTAGTGGCAGTTAGTAATGTGTATCATGTAATACAGTAAGTTTAGACAGACAGATACCATACACTTTGGCCAACAGTTTCATTAAAATGATTTGCAGACAACACGAAAGCCACACACAAAGCATTCAAAGGAATATATCACAGCTCGGGTCCCCCAAGTTTCTTTTTGCATATAAAGTG